GAACCACGTGCGCACCAGGTCCATGGGCCCGGCACTTGCTGAAGGAAACTTCAGCTGGGAAACAGCAGCGGCGTCATGCCTGTGCTGATCAGCCTGTTCCGTCTCCTTTCATAGCGAAACGAACCACTCTTAGAGGAGTTGAAAAAAATCATGACAACCTCTATGGGGTGCACACTTCCATTTAGACACCAGCCCCTTGAAATCTGCAACACTGAACTAAGACTATGGAAGCAATCAGAAAAATGTTTTATGACTTTGTAGTTCACGTTTTGAAGCTTTCAAAGTTCAAAATCATTACATTCCACCAAAATCATCAATGCTATTGGTAACCAAAGAAGTTTTCACTTATTAAATACACTGACAAATAAAACCAAAACAAAATTTAGTGAGAATCTCTGCAAAGGGAACTTGTTCTACCTCAGCTCACTTTTGAACGTAAGAATTGTTTTAACTGAGGAAACATACAGAAAAGGTCCTAAACTATAACCTATGAGAATAATTCATATAAAACTTACAGCATGACTATAAAGGCTGTGATTGGCTGCTTTAATGAAGATATAAAATTTACATCCCATAATAGTCTCCAGCATTTTCTCCTTCAAAACTGTCTCTTTTTTTGGTATGTACTAATTTTCATCTCAAGATGATTAAATACAATAGGTAATTTAACAGACAATGAGAGAAGTATCAATATCAGAAAATAAAGAGTATATTCAAGCATCACGTTTATAAACAAGAAGTAAGCAGCTTCCATTTTGAAACCTCACTGTCATCTTTGGTTTTCTGTTAGTTTAAACCAATACACACTAGTATATATATACACGCACATATAAAAATTATTGCCATACTTACCTGCCACATATACAAAAAGTTGGGATTCTTTTTTTTTTTGGAGAGGTTTTTCACCATAGGGTGCGCTCGCCAGACAGACAGAGAGAGACATAGAGACAGAAAGTGAGAAATCCCCCCCCCCCCGGGGGATGGTCACGCCCCAATCCCTTCTCTTCTCCTCTTGGGATCTTGGGCACGCGCACACACACGCCCGGAGTGAGTTCTAAGCCACCGGGTCTGGGACGCGAACCGCGGTCGACTACGTGGGAGTCCAGCGATATAGCCATTATGCTAACTGCTGGTTCCCAAAAAGTTGGGATTCTTCACGAGAGTACGTGTTGTGACACCACCACACTGCACAGGGGCCAAGCCAGGAGGATGGGGCTTACACTTGGGGAATTATTTATCCACAGTATTTTTCTATATCTCATCCACAAACTTTGAACCTTTAAAGAGCTATGGTCTTAACGGTTTGTTTTTGTTTTTTTTTTTTTTGCCATTGAGCATCTGTGCTCACAAGAGAGAAACACTTCAGGAAGGTGGGAAATTATCCCTGGGTGACATGCTTTTGCCTCGATCCCGAGAAGGCAGGTGGGAAATCATCCCTGGGTGACATGCTTTTGCCTCGATCCCTTCTCCATTCTCTTCTCAGGATTTTGAGCATGCACCCCATGTGCCTGGCATGTTTTTCAAACGACAGGGTCCAAGACTTGAACCATGGAGTCAGCCATGTGGGATCTGACACCATACCCCATCATGCCACCTGTGGCCGCCCAGTCTTAACCTCGTATATGAGTCGAAGGCAAGTAGAAAACTGACTCACAAGCAACGGAAGTGTAAAAAGAGCTGTACACATTTGTTTCAGAATTTTGCAGTTAGGTGCTTCTTTCAACAGCTGTA